CGAGCCATGGCGCCTGGCCACCTAACACCTACTTCTAACAGTAAATAGAATATTACTATACATTGCAAGAGCAGAGCTCTGTAATAATTAAGGAAGCTGGTGATTTATAAGCAAGGCCTGGTATGTCAGTTATTGCAACTATATACATCTAAGCTTGACATGAAGAAAAGTCTCTGGTCTGGGTGAGGGCAAATCTACTCTTTAACGCAACAGAATGATCTAGCACAGGAGATTTCTCCAAGTGTGGTATCTGGACCAGCAGCATCAGCATGATCAGGGGACTCATTAGAAATGCAAATTCCCCAGCCTCACCTCAGACCAACTAGATCAGAAACTCTAGGAGTGGGGCCCATAATCTGTGCTTGAGCAAGCCTTTGAGTTTGACATGTGCTCTGGGGCAGTGTTCTCAAATTTTGGTCCTGGGACCCCCAGCCTCAGGATGTCCAGAGGGGGCTTCTGAGATGGGTTATGTGGAAGTGCAAGGAAATGAAAGGACCAATGGTTTATTCCTTCAAGTTCAGTGTTTCCCAAACTGGCCTAATTGTAAGGATTACTGGGGACCTCTGAAAAAGACCAACTTTCAGGTCAGATGCGGTGGCTCACACCTGTAATCCCAGCACATTGGGAGGCCGAAGCAGGAGGATCACTTGAGCTCAGGAGTTTGAGACCAGTCTGGGCAACATAATGAGACCCTATCTCTACAAAAAAGTTTTAAAACTTAGCCAGGCATGGTGGTGCATATCTGCAGTCCCAGCTCCTCAGGAAGCTGAAGTGGGAGAATTGCTTGAGCCTGGGAGATCGAGGCTGCAGTGAGCTATCATTGCACTGCTGTGCTCCAGCCTGGGTGACAGAGCAAGACCCTGTCTCAAAAAAAAAAAAAAAAAAGACACAATTCCTGGACCGTACTCCAGAGGATTCAGAATCGAACCAGGAGAGAAGAGCGGCAAAGGGCAGGGTCAGATTCTCATGCAGCCCCTTGGAAGATGTGGTCCACTCATCCTAACTCCCTAGGAAATTATTGCTCTGGGACTCCAAAGCCACTGATTTAATTTATAAAATCCACCTCAGCCCAACACCATCAACATTTGAGAGGGACCCACCTGCTGGTCCTTCATTCAGTTAATAAGTATTATTCAGAATCGATTGTGTTTTAAACAAGGGAATAAAAATGTTTTTAAATAAAAATTTCTGTCTCTGATTATTTTTTAGGGTTATGATGGATGATCAGGCACACAGAAGCCCAAGGAGACCTCTGAAGACAAAGCATTCAGTCTAGATGGAGGAAAGACTGTCACTAAATAGAGGGAGAAGAGGGAGGTTACGCAGGAGAGAGTGGCAAGAAGATAAACGGGGAAGGGAAGGACCAAAGAAGCCGAGATTTCCTGGGAAACTAATGAAGGATGATTCTGGCTCCTTGGACCCATGGGAGGGAGACCAGCTTGATGGGTTAGTACCAAGGTGAAAGCTTTTGAGGCTGCTTTGTTTAAGCACCTGCTCTGTCCCTTTCCAACAGGCATTTGGCTCAACCTATTTGAGCCTCAGTCTCCCCATCTACGAATAGGCTGATAATAGGTCTGCTCTCAAAGAGCCGTGACCAGCAAATGTAATGAGGTTGTTGGTGTTTCCCAGGCTCCGTCAGCTGGTGTGGCCACACAACTATAGCTAGCCAGAAGCACGCAGTCCATGGGAACCATTATGATTCTAAACACCTTCTGGCAGTACTCAAACTTTTTCTATCTAAGTCATCACCTCTTAGTCAAGGGAAAGGCTGTCCCCTTATAGACCCTTCCAGTGACGATCAGTCCTGTTTCTGATGTACTTTATTTATTTATTTACTGAGACAGAGTCTTGCTCTGTCACCCAGACTGGAGTGCAGTGGTGCAATCTCAGCTCACTGCAACCTCTGCCTCCAGAGTTCAAGTGATTC